GGTGTCCAAGGGTCGGCCTCACTATCTCCCCCACAGCTATCGGCCGCCTGAGGTGAGGTTATCACCACCAGACGGCATAGCAGAGGCTAGGTCCCCTTCTCTTGCCTTTTTCGGGATACCCCCCATCCTTAACCGTTCCATCATAATTTGTTTAAATAACATATTCTAATTGTAATGCGCTCTATGTTTTTGCCTGAATTCTTGAATTCTTTATGCGGGGACAGGATCAGTCTTCCAGAGGAGTGCCTGGAAAGAGGAGTACCTCCATTCCACACATTTTTCTTGATACAATGCAAACGAAACCTCGACTGATTCCCCCTTTGGAGAGTGTGGAAATGTTGTTCTCGTGCAACGATGAAGTCAGACCTTGTCTGTCCCCAAGCCACCCTGATTAGATGTGATTTTCTAACCTGTTTAATTCATAGGAAGGACAGTGCGCCAAATTTTGCTCATAATACTGTCGCCATTTGAAGATGCAATAGTTTTGAAACGCACAAGTGGTGGTTAAATTGTATCATTGGATAGATTGTCAATGCAGCTTAACCTATCGTTTAAAGTAAGGCGATGAATGACATCTGTATTAGAATGCTTCCGCAAATCGGCTTATACATTTAGATTAACACCTGGAAATCGAATTTTCAGCACATTCAGTACATTTAGATGTACTTGGGAATGTAAAGGCAGCTGTCAGCCAGCCAGCCGTTTCAGTTGTGTACTTGCTCAAATTGCTCCCAGGTCCAAAAGCCCAGTCCCTTGCTGTTATGTGACGATAACGCAAACCTCAGGGGAAGCGAACACCTAATTGATATTTTAGGCGAAATACGGAGTCATAAGGAAGTCTGAAGGACACAAAAAACCCATTGCTACAGAATGCAAGAAGAAGTTGGTTTTTTCTGCCCCAAATGAATGCTCCTCTACGGTGACATAACTCGCGAGTCACTGACGAACTTTGCTTTGATGAAATGCGCATGGCCTGTCTGATAGACCCCGACTTGGGACCATTTGCAAATGTTACTGGTTTATGTTTGTGTTTCCGGCCCAAATTGTTATTCAGGATTATGATTGGCTGAATGAGCCAAAAAGAGTACTGTATCAATCTACCCGCATCCTCTGTCTATTGAGCCACAGACTCGTTGTCTTGTCGGTTTAGATCGTGAATACTGAAATTCGCTGATGAGTGCTCACTGATCGTTAACTCGCCCGTTCGGCCTTGGGGCCGCACTCTCGAGCCCTGTTAGCAGCCGCACCGCGTAGACAGATAGTATTGCCGACAAGGACAACCTCGAACCCACTGCACTCCGGGCTCGCTGTTTTACCGGCTTAGATTTGGAATAGTGACAGTGCTTGGTGAGTGCTCACCGAACCCATGAGTAAGAGGCCCGTCTGGTGCACCGCCTGGGGTTGGCTACGGCTAGCTGATGAAACCTAATTGCGGTGAGCGTTAATCCGCAGACAGAGTTTATGTTAAGTTTGCGTGTAATACGGCTGCATATGACAAGCTGAACTATCCTATGTTGTTTGGGTGGGTTCACATACTGCGTCTTTGACGGAGCATCGGTG